GGACGGGGAAAGCCAACATTTGTTAGATCAAGGACTATTCCTTTAAATCAGCTGGAGGATCAAAAAAGTGGCTGAAGGTAAGTTCTAAAGTTAAGAGGAGTCTAGAGCATAAACATCTTAATGTATTGCAAAGCAAGTAGCTGCTGGTGGACACTGCACCAATGATGTAATAGTGCGTTTGACACTAACATCCTGTGTCCTTTGTACATGTTGGCAAAAAGGCAGAGTAAAACCCTACTATTTAATAGATCCTTGAAATGCTTAAAATATTTGTTATCATTGTTTTGATGTTGTCTGCCCTTCCCTAAAAGCCAAATAAATAGCAGAAATCTTTTAGAATACCTGGATGTATTCTGTGGTCACTATGGATTTATCCCAATGTCGTATAACTGTTATGTTGCATTGAAAATGGGTATTTATAATGATCACCTTGAAGGATAGTGACATCCTGAATCATCTAAAAATAATTCAGCTGTGTTCTCTAGGTATCAAGTGGAAAAAAAGCATAATACTACTTTTTGGAGGGGGAAAAAAACTCGGCAAGCAAAACTTAAAACAAAAATATTTTATTAGTCCTTATTTAATCACAACTTTCAATTACCGGTAATTATCTGTATGCCTTAGGCATTCTATTAAGGTTTTGTTGTATGTAAATTCAACATATTTTAGTGTGATCACAATAATATTTATATCATAAATATATAATAACTCATCCTTTGTCCCATCCAAAGCCTTTGAATAATCTTTATTCTTAATTCTATTTCTCTTGTAGTTTTTCCCCACACAGGGAATCAATAAATAACACCCAAATTTCAATAACTGGGCAGAACCTAAAGATCATTTCTGATTTTCACTTTAAGGCGATTCTAAATGGATCTGTCCCTCAAATTCATCAGTTTCTAAACCTTGTCAGTCCCTTTCCATTTCTTCAAACATGAACCATTATATAATGGCTTTGTGAATGACTTCCTTAATTTCACTTTTTCTCTCAATGTTTCTCCTATAAACAACTACCAAATTAATTTTATTAAAATAATGCTTTAGACATTACATTCTCTGGCCCAAAATCTCAATGACTTGCAACATCCAGGTTGTTTAGGTCGTACACAAAGCAATTCTCATCGTGTTCTTACTTACCGTACACATCCAACACTGCAGTCGCACTGTTCTGCCATCACCCTTAGCTCCTCTTGCTCAAAAAGACCCCCTCTCCTTTCTCCATTACAGCCTGTTCTTCAAGAACTGGTTAGTGTCATCTTCCCCAAGCCTTCCCAAGCCCTGAGTAATAAAGACATAATTCATTCTCAATTCAGGGTTCATGACTGGCTTCAGGGGGTGTTGGAACTCCTTGTATTTGTATTCAAAATTTTGTGTACATGTTCTTTGTATCATTGGAGTCTGGAGCTTTCATCACATTTTCAAAGAGGCATGACCACCTTTCCCCAGAGTTTAAAAATTACCTCTCTAAACTTACGTGGCACTTCTGTGAGCTTTCATTTGTTGTATGTAACATCCTGAACTATTAATCTCCTTTTGGTATTTATCAGCATATGGTAATCATCTTATATTGATATTTATCTTTGAGTATTTACATGCCACCTATCAACCAGACTGTATGCACACAAGAATATGAGGAACCTTCTTAAAATTCTTTGTATGCCCAAATCTGCTTGAATGCCCATATGTTCCACTCTCTTCCAAACAAAAATCCCCCACTCATTGAGTTGATATTCCTGCAAAGAGAAAACAGAATAAACAATAAACACAGATAAGTGAATCTGTAGTGATTGTGGTAGGAAAAAGAAGTAGAGCAAGATCAGGGGGATTGGGAGTGTGCTGAATGACTTGCAGTTTAAAATATGGTGGTCAAGGTTAGCCTCATTGAGAAGGTGACATTTCAAGAAAGACTTGGAAGAGGTAAGGGAGAGAGCCAGGGGAAGATCTGAGGAAAGAGCTGACCAAGCAGAGTTTGAAAAAGCCATGGCAGAGCCCCTGAGGCAGCAGTGAGCCCAGCATGTTCAAGGACTAGCACAATGGCCAGTGTGGGCCGAGCAGAGTTAGCAGGGAAGCCGTCATGGGGCTTAAGAGTCCGTTGGTTTGCTGGTTTGAGAGTAGACTAAGGAAAGCCCTAGTGGAAGGGGGAGGCCCCTAGGGAGGCTAACTGCAGCAATCCAGGCGGGAGATGATGGACGCTTGGACTAGCGGTGGTAGCAGTTGAGATTAAAAGAGGTTAGAGAATCCTAGATATATTTTGAAGGTTAAGCCGATAGGACTTTCCAGCAGATCAGACATGACTTGTGGGAGAAATGGGGGAGTCAAGAAACACTCCAACGTAGGCGTAATAAGCACCTGAGGATGGAAATGCCAGTAACTGAGCCGAGAAGGCTGGAGAGGAGCAGGCTTTGAAAGGAAGAACAGGAGTCTGGTTTGAACTTGAGGGTGAGCTGTCTGCCAGGCATTTGGGGGGACTGTCCAGGAGACACATGGGTAATCAAGCGGGGGAAGAAGCCTGAGCTGCCAGCGGGTAGCGGCAGCTGGCAGACTGCATAAAGCCTGGAGTGAGTGCATCCAGGAGTTTGGGGAGAGGCGGGGGGGTATTTGCTGATGATCTAAAGCACACCATTGTTTTGTGACTTAACGCATATGGAATGCTCACTCTGGGCCAAACTTGTTTTTCATATTCAGAGATTAATCCATTAAGATACTGAAAAGCATGTGGCGTGTGTGTTTACTTTAAGGAGAATGAGTACCACGGTGATCTTTTAGGAACCACATTTGGAATTTTTACTGACTCACTATGTAACCAATCAGATTTTTCTTGTTGGATGAGCTTATTCTGTTAATACATTTGACTCACTACTTACTTATAAGACCATCATAGGACTTGAAAACAAATTTGGGAAACATCACATAACACAGTGTCCTTAATACAGCACCCCTACTTTTCTGCCTCAGACTTAAGTAATAGTGAAACTGACGCACCATAGGATGGCTACCTTATGATGTTTTAGGTACAAATTGATCTTGTAGGGACCATCTTACTCTGTTATAGATAACAGTTACTAAGTGGACACAATACTTAATATTTCACACATATTGAAATGTAAGTGTTTTTTAAACATCTTTTACGGTCTTGGCACATTTTGTGATTGCCACTGTGAGGTCTTCCCACTCAGTGCTTATTCATGCTGTCATTAACCAGGACGGGGAAAGCCAACATTTGTTAGATCAAGGACTATTCCTTTAAATCAGCTGGAGGATCAAAAAAGTGGCTGAAGGTAAGTTCTAAAGTTAAGAGGAGTCTAGAGCATAAACATCTTAATGTATTGCAAAGCAAGTAGCTGCTGGTGGACACTGCACCAATGATGTAATAGTGCGTTTGACACTAACATCCTGTGTCCTTTGTACATGTTGGCAAAAAGGCAGAGTAAAACCCTACTATTTAATAGATCCTTGAAATGCTTAAAATATTTGTTATCATTGTTTTGATGTTGTCTGCCCTTCCCTAAAAGCCAAATAAATAGAAATCTTTTAGAATACCTGGATGTATTCTGTGGTCACTATGGATTTATCCCAATGTCCTATAACTGTTATGTTGCATTGAAAATGGGTATTTATAATGATCACCTTGAAGGATAGTGACATCCTGAATCATCTAAAAATAATTCAGCTGTGTTCTCTAGGTATCAAGTGGAAAAAAAGCATAATACTACTTTTTGGAGGGGGAAAAAAACTCGGCAAGCAAAACTTAAAACAAAAATATTTTATTAGTCCTTATTTAATCACAACTTTCAATTACCGGTAATTATCTGTATGCCTTAGGCATTCTATTAAGGTTTTGTTGTATGTAAATTCAACATATTTTAGTGTGATCACAATAATATTTATATCATAAATATATAATAACTAATCCTTTGTCCCATCCAAAGCCTTTGAATAATCTTTATTCTTAATTCTATTT